CCCATTTCATATGCTAATGTCATCCCTTAGCCTGCCTGAAGTGTGTAAAATAAACCTCTGCTAAAGGCAGAGCAGGAAGACTTGCACCCAACTCCCATTCCCGGGTCTTCCTCATGCCTGCTCCCCTTTTTTCCCTTTCTCCCCCTTTTCTAGGAATCTCCGCTCGCTGACGCCGTTCCCACCTTGAGACCCTGCCTTTCCTGCCCCCCACTATCCGTGATCAGGGACAAAGAGTCTCCGACACCTACCCACAATGGAGAGGATGACGACCACGAAGTCAAAGATGTTCCAGCTGTTGGTGAAATAATAATGGCGGAGGGCAGCCATCTTGACGATACACTCGCCCGTGAAGATGGCTACAAAAAGCAGGTTGATCTTGGCCAAGATGTTGACTTTCTCAGGGCTCTGGTCATCTGTCTCTACCATCATGGTCACCATGTTCAAGCAGATGAGAAACATGATGGTGACATCAAAGGCCTGCTTGGTCACAATGTCGAATATGAAGCCCTGGTACTTGTTCTGAAAGGTGAGGCAAAGAATGGACTCAGCAGGCCAGGAAGGTCCCTGGAGCTGCCTCGTGGCCTGGACCTCCCGCCTCCTACTCTACCCCAGGACTACTTTGAGAGGAGGAAGTCACGGAGAATGAAACACTCTGGCCCTCCTGCTGAGAAGCTCCCTGGGCTGAAGGGTCCAGGCCAGCCCCCTTCTTTCCTGAGGTCTTCTCAATGGGGCCTCAGGAAGGAGTTTCTCCTAGCTTAGGTGAAACCTATGCTCCTCACTAAGGTGCTTGCCCTTCTGTTCTTAGTCTGAAGGCTGAAGGTCAAACCTAGTAATTTTATCAGCTTTCAGATTAGCAGATTCTCTCCACTATTTGTACGGAATTGATTTTGTTTAGTCTACTAACGATATACGTGTCTTTAACTGTAAACCAGCCCACATTATTTTGGAGAAGTGATCAGATTTATAAATAAATGATGAATTAGATTAAAACCTGAGACTACCACTTACTAACTGGGGATTTTGGTTATGTCACCTAATTACTTTGAGTGCTTCTGCCAACTCTGCTTTCTGTAACACACACACACACACACACACACACACACACACAACTCTTGGAGAATGGCTTGACAGGGCCAAAGGAATCATTCTACCAGAGGGCCTAGTGTACGACCACCCCACCACCTTGATGATGCCCCCACAACCCCCAATCCCCACTGCTGAGGGAGTTGCAAGGATGAGGCTGTGAATGGAGCTGGGGGAAGCCTGCACCCTGGCAGGGGAGAAGAGGTTCAGGCAGTGGCAGCTGGGTTGAATGGGAGGGGAGTGTCTTGTGTCCACGGCCTCCTCACGTCTTCCTCACCATTTCCACAAGCCCCAGACCTCTGTGTGTTGTCAGGCACCTGAGGGCGGCCCTTCTTCCCTGGTTTTGCTGACAGGTTGTGGCTTCCCAGGTTCCCCCAGGAGATCTTCCCTACTCCTGACAAATTGAGAGCCTGGCTCACCAAGGGGCGTGGGATGGGCTTCTGGGGCTTCTTGGAGCCCAGCTTCTTCATGGCATTGTAGTATTTCTTCTGCTCCTCCGTCATGAAGATGTCCTGGCCCCCTAAGTGCAGAGAGAGACAGCCCAACCTCATTTGGGGTTCTCAGCATGCAAGGCCTTGATGAGGGGGCCAGGGTCAGACTCCCCCTTACTTCCTCTCATGGTGGAGATGAGTATACCCCTTATCCTGCTTCAGAGAGTCCTCACTAACCCTTTCCAGCTTCTCCGTCTCCTTTCATCTTGGTATTTCTCTGGCTTTGTGCCTTGCTAACCTAGCCCCCACAAGCTCCTCTCCTGCCCGGCTCAGCAGCCTGGGGAGTCTCTGCCCAATGAGGACCTGCTCATGGAGCCCTGCTCGCTGGTCCTGATCATGCACCAGGGGCACAGTCCCGACCTGCACCCCAGTTTTTCTCAGGGGCCTCATCTCTCAGGGCAGGCATGGGGCTTCTTGTGGAAGCCTTCGTACACTCTTACAGGGAGTCTGTTAGATCATGATACACCCCCTTTCCCACCCCATTCTAGTAGGAACAAGAGGACCATTTCCAACAGGGAAGGCAAATTGGGGCGAGGAGCCAGAATAGCCCCTGGGCCTGGGCACCAGCCTTCCTCGCCCACCCAGAGGGAGCCCGTGCTCCACTTATCTTTTTCTTCTGTTGGTTGAAGTTATCAATGATGACACCGATGAAAAGGTTCAGGGTGAAGAAAGAACCGAAGATGATGAAAACGACGAAGTAGATGTACATGTAGAGGTTGTACTCCCACTGGGGCTGTTCTTCATACTAAGGGGGAATCAGACAGCAGAGACAGTGGGAGGGAGGGGCAGGCCGGGGCCACCACTGTGGCCAGAGGGTCACCGGCACAGGGTGTGTCCCTGTGTGCAGGTGAGTTCCGAGTAGGCTGGGGAGGTGGGCTGGTTTGGCAAGAGCGTGTGTGGCAGGGAGGGGGGGCAGCTGGCTGGGGCTGCACTCTGCCCCTGGGCCTTTGGGTGCTTTGGGGGACTACTCAGCCTTCAAAGAACTGAAGGGTGACTGGGCAGCACACAGGACAAAGGATTTGTCCTGATTTGTGCCTCTATTGCTTCCTCCCCACCCGCCTGGGACAGACTTAAGATCCAGGACATTGTAGCAGACTGAATGTGGAAGATGTTTATTTTGAGGCTCTCTGGGAGCGCAGGGGACCCTGCCCCAGGGCCAGAGCCAGAGAGGCTCGACTCCCCGTGGACACGGTCAGCATGCCCTTCCGGGATGGATCTGAGACGGGACACAGACGCTGGGTGGCCAAGCTGCGGGAGTCTTTGTGCCTGGCTGGTTGGGAGACCCCAGCGTGGCAACCTACCCCCCGGGAGTCCACGGCTGCGTACATGATATCCATCCAGCCTTTGAAAGTTGCCTGCAAGGAAAAGATACAAGTAATAATCCCACTTAACTCTGCATCTTGCTTGAGCCACTTAGAGCACCTCTGGGCAGAGGAAGCCTGGAAAGGGCCTCTATAGGGAAGCTGCCCAGCCCACTCCTTCAGCCGGACACAATGGCTGAGCTCTCAGGGAAAGGCCCTCATATTCAGCCCAGAGACATCCAGGGGGCCATGTAGGGGGGCAGAGAGTAAGCCTCTGGGCACAAAGAATAAGCTTCCTGAGGCTGGCCAAGATGCTGCTGAGGCCTGGCTCTTGACTCAGTCACCTCAGCATCCAAAGGACACAGGCTCCAGCCGTGGGCACCAGCTGGGCTCTGGGCTGAGCATTCAGGTGAACAGAGTGCTGACCGAGTCCACTTTGTCACGTCCCTCACAGAATCTTGCGGTTTCTGCCCACAGCCTTTTAAAGGGCGAATCCCAACCTTCCCTTAAAGCAGTCCTGCTCGTGTGTTAGTAAGTGGCTAACAAAGGCTTTCCAGAAGAGAACAAAGCCCTGATTGCTGTGTTTGCCAATTTCTCTGTGTAAATACTCTCACCAAGGACAATTTCAAATTGCCAATGTGATGCTATTGAACACAGTTGGGAAGAGATGCATGGGAGAAGCAGTGGAGAATTTCCATTGTATGGGGAGAACAAATACAGCAACTTCAAGCACAGATGTTAATAAATGGCAGGGTGAGTTTTGAGTACTTACTACCTTTGCTTTAATACTATTTAGCTAAACTTAAGTTTAACATCATTTTTTTTTAAAGATTTATTTATTTGTACATACAGAACTGGGGTATAGGCTAGAGGTGCAGGGGTGGTGAGAGGTTCATCAGAGACAGAGTGGGGAGCAGAACAGGCAGATCGACGAAATACACTGCTGAGGGGAGAAGTGGGCGGTCAGGAGAGGTCTGTAGATCCATGTGTATCACCTCTGGGGCAGCGGATCGAACTCATGCTGCAGTGGCTTTAGCTTCTTAATGCTGTGCTTTAACCCGCTGTGCCACCAGGGAGGGCCCAAACATCTATTTTTAATAATGACAACTATACGTTTGCAAAATATCTGCAAGTATTATATAGTCAGGTCTTATAAGCCACACCAGAGAGGGAGGCTGAACGAGAAGGGCCCTGGTGCCTGCTTCATTATTTGCCTGGATCTGGGCTGCAGTAGATTGAGAAGGGGCCAAGAGGTGTGTGTGGTGGTGACGCCAATGCCCAGCACCTCTCATCTGCGTCCCGGACAAAATCCATCAGCTCTGAGCTTTCTTGCAGGGTAAAAGCTCAATCACACAAACTTTCTGTGTCTGAGAGCTCTCATGAGGCGGGAAACAGGCTGCTCAGAGAAGGCAAGCAAGCTACATGGCTCTCTGTGCCTTGGCCCCTCACTTGCAAAGACCTGGAAATGCTTTGGTAACTGCTGGAGGCCAAGCAAGGTGGATCTCTAATTGAATTTTTCTGGAACTGCGTGCTTCTCTCTGGGCCAGCAAGCACTTCCCAATTTGTGAAGGGAGACTTACATTCTGAGTTCTGACATCTGAAGGCACAGTGACTCAGACTGGTTCTAACCCTGTTCTCCGCCAGGTATGGGGAGGGGGCAGGAGTCTTTGGAGAAAGCTGGGTCGTAAGAGGCGTTTGAAGGGTGACTGGCCCCGCAGTGAGTTTTCAGGTGGGAGGCTGCTAGGGTTTCTTCTGGTTTTGGGTCTAGCGTTAGGAGTATGGATTTACGATTGGGAGAGCAAAAAAAGCAAGCTGTAGCTTTAGGAATGAAGGGTCTATTTACATTTCTGTTGTCACAGCTGTTCATAGGTGATTTTATAGGTGAGTATTGTAATTGTGGAAGCTCCTGTACTCACAAATCAATGAAAACTTGGGAAGGGTTGAGCAGGGTGCATGTGTAACATCACACATCTTGTGCATCTGAGGTGGAAAGAATAAATCCCTGTAAGGGACACTAGAGATCTTTTATATCAGGGTCTGATCTGAGCCACGAGTTCAGGCGCTGGGTGTCGATGATCTTTCACATACTGTAAGGTGACAGGGTGAAGAGGGCAGTTGGGAAGCTGTAGGCTGCATGGAGACTGTACTCCCACACCTCGCATCTTGGAGAATGGTATCTGCTCTAGGATGGAAAGTCTGGGGACTTTTCAGGGAGTCAAGAAGTCCCCGGAGAATCCTTGCCTTCCTCTGGCTAGTGTGACCTCATTGTGGGGATCCAGGGTGCCCCGTGGCCCCCAACTGCCCACACTGTGGGTTAAGGTGCCTGAGACGGGGGGAGCCAAAGGGAGGAACTTACCACCTGCAGAAGGGCCAGGTACCCAGCCCCCACGTTGTCAAAGTTGACTTTCACCTTGGTCCAGTACAACTCGCCAGTCACGTTGAAGGACTCACAGTCACTCTTGTTGTTCACAAAGGTGTAGTTCAACGGCAGGTCTCCTTCAGTCTGGTTGATGCACCTCCCAAACTTCCCCGCGAAGAGGTTCACGCCCATGATGCTGAAGATGAGCCAGAAGATGAGGCAGACGAGTAGGACGTTCATGATGGACGGGATGGCGCCCACCAGGGCGTTGACCACAACCTCAAATGGACAGAGAAGAGGCCCAGTTCCTGGGGGCGCCTGGAGCAAGTGCCCTTTTGGAGGACTCCCCCCCTCCACCTACTGCACTCCTTGGCTACAGGTTCCAGTGGGATCTGGAGGCCGCACCCTGAGATCTGGGCTGAGAGGATCACTTCTTATCCCCAAGGAAGGGCACCCCATCACCAGGAGCCCTGCAGGGGAGGGAGAGGACTTCAAGCTTAATTCCCATAGGGTCGTCTGCTGGTTGAGTATGCCAGAAAGCTGGCAGGGCAGCACCCTGGGGGTCCATTCCCTGAGCTATGTTTCTGGTTTATGTTAGGCTCCTGCTCCTGGAATGAGGGGGCGTCCTCCCCTGGACAGACCCAGGGGCCCTGGCAGCAAGCGTCTTGGCTCCAATGCTCCGATGAGAGCGAGCTGGGAGCGCCTGTGGTGTGGGTGTTCCCTGTGGCCTCTCCAGGGGGTGGTTCTCTGATCCCACGGAGTTTCGACCTCACCACGCTTTACTTAACTCCAGCAGCCGGGAGAGGGCTCTGTGGCAATGCACACGGGGCCTCTATCTGTCCAGGTACTGTGAGCCAGGAAGGCTGCGGAGACTGGACGTGGAGCTGCTGAGAGGCTGCGTGGTGTCACTCAGAGGGCCCAGTGCCGGCGCATGCAAATGAGAGGGATCCCTGTTCCTCCTGGGGCGCTGAACCAGGGTCTGGGTGCTGAACCAGGGTCTGGGTGAGAGACCCAGCCAGGCCTTGCTGCTAATGGTCATCCACCTCCTGGATCAATTGTCCTTGCTCCCCAAGAAGCATTTAGCTTACACTGGGTTATTCACCTGCAAGTGATTTGCCACTGGGAGTGATTTTTTTCCCCATGAATAGGGGGTGCAGGCAAAGTCCAACCCAATGGGGGCTGTGTGATGGGGCCTGCAGGCAGTGAGGGGCACACAGATGCGTCTGTGCAGCCACACGGGCATGTTTTGTAAAGGACACGTATACAGTGAAAGTCCTAAGTGTACACACACACACACTTATTTTCTTGTGATATAATACTATGAATAAACGCTTTTTCTTGGTGAGCTTCTAAGTTTGTCTTATACATGCAATTCTTTGGTAAAATGTGGTGACTCAAAAATGCAGTTAAAAATTTCAGCAAAAGACTTCCGGAAGATGGCGGCAGGGTAAAGACGCTAAGATCACTGCGTCCAGGCCTGCATAGGAATTGAGGACTAAAAACGGACTATAGACTCACTTACTACAAGTTTTAACCCAAACGAAAACACCCTGGACTCACTAGAAGGTAGATAACTGAGAGGGAATCGAAGATTGGGGAGTTCCCAGGAGGAAACTCCCGGGGAAAACCCGGGCCCCTGGAAGTTCCGCGGGCTGCAGGAGCCGCTTTGCCCCACGCTAAACCCTGGAGGTAAAGCTGGA